CAATTATTTTGAATATTCTTCTGATACTCAAAAATAGAATTTATTATTTGTTAAATGTATTTGCCATCTATCTTGCCATGGGGCTATTTTAGGTGGCTTTAAATATTACTTCTTCCAACAATTACTGTCACAACAATTGCTGTTACAGATTACTGCTAATAACAACATATAGTAATAAGTGATATTATTAGTCATATATGATAGTAATACAGCTAGAGTCAATGTAGTGTATTGTTAAAAGTGTTGAATTAAATGTGTAAAGATAGAGAAGTTCCAGGCCATTAGATTCTGTGCCACTTTTTAATAGAAATCTATACCAATACCGAAAGCATTTTTATTACAAAAATGAATAATGTACATATTTTTCTTTCAGCACAGTAGATGAATATTCACCTCACAGAAAGGTAATATGAAAAGATACTAAAATAATTTTAATTCTAATTTAATAACTTCATTTTTCTTTACCTTAAGATTTTTTTAATTAATGAAAACAAACAGCCAAAATAAACAGGCAAGCTGCACTTTTCTGTTGAAGTTGTTAAATCTGTCTGCTAATGATGTGGCTCTGTTTCCAACCATAGAAGTAAAAAAAAAGATGTCTCTAGCAAAATTAAAGTGTAGTTTGTTGGTATTCATTGTGGGGAAGCCACATCATATTTCCTGTAGATAATGTTTAATCTAAATGGATTTGACAGAAAATCTGGACAAAGTTATTGAATGCAAATGTTTGGAGTAACGACAGAAGGAAATACTATATATGTCTTTACCTGTGTAAGTAATGTATCCCCAAATTTAGAGAATTAATGTTTAAGTGTGTTCTTTTTAGAAAAAATATATTTATTTATGTAGAAAATATATATGGCTGCCTAACTCATTCCCAGTAATTCTGGGTAGCTTACAAAGATAAAACCCCAAGTAAAACCTTCCATACAAAAGTAAATAAAGTTCCCTATCACTTTGAGGCCCCAAGCCTATTCTTCTAATAGGCTTCAGGGCTTTGTAAAAGATTGTCAAAGTGGAGGCCAGTCTTATCTCTGCAGGGATGATATTCTCCAAGAGGCCAGAAGCCATCAGGGAGAAGGCTTCTTGATTTCACTAGATGGATCTCCTTAGAAGAGAGAACTCTGAAAGATTGGGTGAATATGACTGAGAAAAAAACAGTCCTTCAAACAACCTGATCCCAAGCCATATAAGGGTTTAAAGATGACAGCCAGCACCTTGAATTGGGCCCGAAAGCAAATCAGTAGTCAGCGCAGTTCCTGTAAGAATGATAACACATGTGCAAATCTCGGCTAGCACAAAACGGCCTCATTTTTAAACATTTGAAACTTCGAAATATTTTTAAGGTCAGCCCCATGTAGAGCGCATTTGCAGTAGTCAAGATGGGGGGAGGGGAATGACTAGGGGTGTGATTAGCTGTGCTGTTAGTTGCAAAGTTGTTTCCAACCCATCATGACCTTAAGGACAACGTTTCTCCAGGCCTTCTTGTCTTCTACCATCCTCTGGAGTCCATTTAAGCTCACGCCTACTGTTTTGGATACTCTATCCAGCCACTTCATCCTCTTGTCATGCCCTTTTTCTTTTGTCCTCAATCTATGCCAGCGTTAGGCTCTTCTCCAGTGTGTATACACTATATACAGTATATGCACTACACACAGTGGGTAACTGTGAATAGTTTTAAAATATGAGTTCAATCTCATTCCAGAACTGGGAGGGGAGGGCTTTGTTTCTAGTTACCTCTTATTTGGATTACTGCAGCATTCCCTATGTGGGCTTGCCCTTAATGAATATTTGGAATATTCAATTGGTGCAAATTGAGGCTACACAAGTAGTTAATGGTACCGGGTATGCAGCATAAGTAAAATCACTACTATGGGAGCTGCTTTGGCTTCTGGTGTGTTTCCAGGTGCAATTTAAAGTGCTGCTTGTCACTTTTCAAATGGTACATAGCTTCGGAGTGGGGTACATACGGAAATGTCTTCTCTCAATAGTTTCTACCCATCCAATTCAGTCTAATAGATTGGCTGCAGATCTCATTAGCCATGGAATGTCGGTTGGTAGGAAACAGGAGTTATACCTTCTTGGCAGTAGCCCATTCCCTTACACATCCTTCCTTTGGATTTGTCTATGCACCTGAATCTAGGTTTCCAAATGTATTAGGGGCTTTATGATCTGATTGCATTGCTAATTTTTATGTAATTGCTATGATAATTTTCTGTTGCCTATACATATAATTTGTAACCCTTTTTCTTTTATGTTTTTAATTATTGTGACACTGCCTGCCTGCAGTAAATTGGACTGAGATGGGCAGCTATGGAAATTGAATGAATGAATAAATAATAAAATAAAAGTATCAGAAACAGAAAATAAGGTTTCTGTGAATGTTCTCATAAAATTTATTCGTCTTTCTCTCTCTCCCCTCCTCTCTCTCTGTGTATTCTTCTTTACATCTCCTGTTTTTCATGAACAGAATGTGATTAGTTTATTTAGACAAACTATGCATAGACTTTTTTCTTTGTTTCCTTTTTTAAAACATCCAGTAATTTTTTGCATTTTTTAAACTTTTTATAGCATAAAGCCATTTTACATCAATATAGCCTAAAGCAGAACTGGCTTCAGACCAGAGAATCTGTGAATGAAACAGAAGAAGGTAAGAATGAATGAAACACAAAAAGAAAGAAATATCATATTAACAGCGTCTGCTATTTGGATAGAAAATAAACTGATTCCTATTCCAACTTTTCCCTCATCCTTCCAATTTAACTCAACATTGAAGGCTACACAGTTGATATAATTTTCATTTTGGAAAAATTATATAGTCTGTAAGTGGAGGACATTAACAACTGTAATGTTTCGTAGTTTTCCCGGGAAGATAGTCCTGTTTGATTGGTCTACCCCAGCTCTTTATGAATTGACTTGACTTACAACAGGTCCTTGGAGAGTTTTCCAATGACCTACAGTTGCCTCCATTTGGCCTCTGCTAGTTTGTTTGTATTTTAATGCAAAGTGTTGCCACTTTGCAGTTTCAGACAATCGAAATTCTTGTATTACTTCTCTTGTTTCAAAGAAAGAATTATGAATATAACAGCTTCACAGTATTTAATACTGTTTTTGCCCAAGTACTTTTAAAGGTGTATTTATTTAAAATTATCAAATTACAATTATCCCATATATAATATAAATGTTATTCATGATCTGGTATCCAACTTAAACTTCATCCTAAAACCTTCCCAATGTATCATTCAGTCTTTTGTTGTTATTAGTTGCAAAGAAAGAAATATCATATTAACAGCGTCTGTCCAACCCCTCGTGACCCCATGGACAACACTGTTGTTGTCCATGGGGTTGCGTATTCCATTGGGTCATTGTTGTTCATGGCAAAGATACTGGGAGTGGGTTGCCATTTCTTCTCCAGTGGATCACATTTTGTCAGAGCTCTCTCCTATGATCTATCCGTCTTGGGTATCCCCGGCAGGGTATAGCTCTTAGCTTCATTGAGCTATGCAAGCCCCTTCACCCCAACAAGGTTGTAATCCATGAAGGGGTATTCAGTCCTTAATAAGTTAATTTTGCTTAAAGGAAGACGAATCAAGTAATAATTTTTAGTTGTGCTCAAATGATTTCTGGCAAAAAAACCACTGGTAGTTCACATATACTCACATGTATACACAAACATTCTTAAAATATAAGCCCAATGCAAAACTTCAAAATACATAAATTAACCTTCCTCCTTTACATGTACAGATAGTATGCTTATATACAAGGTAGAATAATAAATGGAAATAGTTCCATCCAATAAAACTAAGTACATATGAGGGATAAGATCTCTCTTTATGTTTGTGATTGTGTATGTGCTAAAGTTGTATTCATTTTAAGAAAGTTTCATTTTAAAACCATCGAATTTTCACTGTTAATATCATTATTAATTTGTGTACAAGACTGAAATATTTAAATTGGCAACAATATGTTTTATTAGGAATATTCCTACATAATTATTCATGCCTTGACCATTATTAATAAGACTCAACATTCTCTTGCATATTATAACTTTTTAAACCAGTAGGCCAATGGTTCTAAATAGGGGTGGGTTTCAGCTTCTTCTACTGCCGGTTTGCTCAGAGATGTGCTTCAGGGGCGTGCTACACATGCATGCACAATAGTTAAAAAATGCTTCTGCACATGCACTGCAGATAGAACCGGTTCGGGGGCACAGCAGGTTGTTACTACTTACTTGGCTGAACTTGTAGGAACCCATTTCTGGTTCCAAATCTAAATTAAATGTAACAAGGTAAGACCTATCTTTGACAACATTTACAAAATATGGGTGAAGTAATAATTCCTTTTATAATACACTCATTTTTGGGGGGGGGGGGAAGTACACTGTTTTTGAGTTCTATAGTTTTACATATAATAGGAGATAATAAAAATCATCTGGTTCATACCAGTTGTTAAAAGTAGGTAAATACAATCACAAATGAACAACCACACATGATGTCATATCACATTATGACATATTACACCAGGTCATCATTTATTTTACAGAAATCACAACTACTGTACTCTGATCTTTAAGCAGATTCACTTTTCGAAATCCAAATTTTAGAATAACTGTAATTTCTTTTATCAAAGAGTGACTGGCAAGCCATCTAAAACAGTGCAATAATTTAAGTTTTTACAGCTTTCAATAAGAATTTTCTTTTGTTAATGGAATGATTTTCCTTTCTCTTTGCAGTTTTTTGCCATGTGTATATAACACAACATTCTTACATCAGTGTAAAAACTAAATTATCCAGTTCAGTTCAAGAGATTTTGAAAATTGTAGCAGAGAAGCTCCAACATTCTCAGGAAGATCTGGCTCTAGTGGCTCTTTCATTCTCTGATGGTAAATGCTTTTCAGCTGTTAATATTTTAATACTATATTTGGTATCTTATCTGTAAATTATTTTCTAGTGCAGATGTAGGTCTCCTCCAGTTGGTCCCACAGCTGGATGGCCAAAGTTACAATAAAGAGCTGTTCAGCAAAAAGTAGTTTCCATGACAACTGCTAATAATTCAGTTCTGCTGTATAATACATTTCGCTTCATTTCTATATCGAAAAGGATTTCACTTCTTCAGAAACATGTTGTAAGGTTTGCATTTACAGATAATTGTAGACTGTAAGATTTGCAAACTGTAAGGTTTGCAATTTAAAGCTGCCGGTATAACAAAAATGCATTCTGGAAAATGGTTTCTATTTTTAAGAAATCAAGTCATATTTAGATATTTGTGGGAAATATTGTTTTTAGAAAATGAATGTTTTCTAAATAAAGATAGTCCTTGATTTATGACCATGATTGAGCCCAATGTTTCTGTTGCTAGGTGAGACTTTTGTTTTGCTTCATTTTTATGAACCTTTCTTGTCACAGTTGAATCACTGCAGTTCTTGTTAGTGACACAGTTGTCAAATGAATCTGGCTTGCCCATTGACTTGGCTTGTCAAAAGGTCGCAAAAGGTGATCACATGATCCCAGGACACTGCAACTATCAGAAACATGATTCAGTTGCCAAGCATCTCAATTTTGATCATGTGACCAGGGGGATGCTGCAACAATTATATGCAAGGGTGAGTTCCAGCAGCCATTACTGCCGGATTGTTCGTGGTCGCACATGCTTGATGCGTGCTGTGCGTGCATGCACAGTACTATAAAAATGCAAGATGGTGGTACTTATGGCACCACTGGTAGAACCGATTCAGGGGCATGGCAGGCCTGGGTCACTGCTGTTCCAGTGACCCAGGCTGTCAAATCACTACCAGTTCAGCTGAACTGGTCTGAACCGGTTGGAACCCAACACTGGTTGTATGTGTGAAAAACTGCCATAAGTCACATTTTCAGTGCTGATGCAACTTTGAATGGTCCACTAAATGAACTTTTGTAAATTGAGGACTACCTGTATTGTAAGCAATATTTTTTTAAAAAAAATTAAATTCTTAATTTAGACTTCAGATATCAATGTGTACAAATAAATTATGTGCTCCATTTTTTTTTAAAAAAAGGTTGAATTATTTGCTTTTTGAAATTATATAGCGCAGAAATGTTCAGTCTTGATTTATGAATTATCCTGGTCCCAATACTATGGGACCAGTATTATGAATTCTGGTGGCACAGTGAGCTAATTCTGCTGACTGCTGGCTACCTGCAATTTGGCAGTTCAAATCTCAACAGCCTCAAGGTTGATTTAGCCTTCCATCCTTCCAAGGTGGGTAAAATGAGGCCCAAATGGTTGAATATACTGACTCTGACAGATACTTGAATGTGCTGACTCTATAAACCACTTAGAGAGGGCTATAAGACATTCTAAAGCAGTAAATAGATCTACGTGGTACTGCTATTATGTATTCAGAAAAAGGCTGTAGCTATAAATGTGATACAGTTAATCAAGATTTCTTATATGATTCTTTTCACTACTCTTAAAGAAAAACATGAACTACGACCATATGATCTAGCAATCTCCAAATCTCTTGAGTTATCTGCTCGTATGTTTGTATTTCGAAGGGATCTTACAGATACTTTGGTAAGTCTTTGTGGTTCTTTTTTTAGGTAGCTTGAAATTTGAAACTGTATTAACTGCATTACTCTCCTATAAACTCAGTATGAACAGAGGCTAGGTAAATCATTAACTAGACTGTTTCTCCCCACCATATGACCCCTCAGGGTATATGGACTTAAATTTTATCATAAACTAAGTCACTAAGTCACCAGCAGTTCTTAACAACTATCGTCCAGTCTCCAACCTCCCCTTTCTGGGGAAGGTTGTGGAGAAGGTGGTGGCCT